GAGGGAGAGGCTGCGCCCGCCGCGGCCGGGGCCGCACACAGCAGCGAGGAGCTGCGGGGTCGCTGTGCGGTCCCCCCGTAAGAGCACCGACGGCAAAACGCGCCCCCGGCAGAGGGGAAGAGGCTGTGCAGCATCCTGCAGGTAGCTGATGGGGCTGAAATGACAGCTGAAGAGAAAGCCACCCGTTTCTGAAAGGCTTTGGAATTAAAGGAAAAAACAGTTACTTAAGTGATATTTTTAAAGCTGACGTTTTCTCTGCTTTCCAATCCCAGTCCTTAGTGAGGGGCAATGCCGAATTGAGGAGAGTCGAAGGAAGTTTTTGATGAGAAATCAAAGGTCTAGAGGTATGTTTCCAAGTAGTCTGTGATGTTGCCTCATAAAATAGGATCCACAGTATAATTTTGCGCTGCAACATTTGTAAAAAGCAACAGTTCTATTAGAAAAAAGCACGAGTTTCTAAATACAGTAACCGTTTACTTAAATAGGATGTTCTTTCTCGGTAATCTGCAATAGCATCACTGTTGATAATTTAATGTCCCCACTAAAATACTTAATCTAATTCTTTTAAAGTATTCTTTAGGATTTTGTATATAAAGTCTCTCTTCCAAAAAAAAATCATTTGAAAAGTGAGAGTGAATTCTGCTTCTCCTAGAGAGTTGTTACTGTGTTTTACACACACACATGCGTACGCGCGCGTACACACACACACACACACACACACACACACACTTTGCAGGAACGGTAGGCAGTACACACCAATAGCAGTGTAGTGTTTGAGGTGCAATAATTTACAATTACTAGGCTTCCTTTTTTCTTGGAGAGGAGGCTATGTGAATAAAAAGAAAAAAGCACTACATTCATTAATCATTACCCATGCTGAACGTGCTTGGCAAGAGGATGTAACTGGCTTGATCCAAATACTTGTTTCTGTAACAAAAAGTATTTTTTTGAGTGTGAACTACGGCGTAGTTAACAGCCCCTTAGAATTCTACATATTCTGACAGCTCAGGTTTTTACATATTCCTTGCAAGCCTGTTAGAACTGTGTGTTTTCAAAAAAAAAAAAAAAAAAACCAAAAAGCAGAAAGTTCACTGGTTTAAAACAAATTCACAGGATATAAGCACTTTGAATGCTTTTGGACAGAGACATAAGGTCGCATTATAAAATAGCAAGAAGATGATTTTTTCAGCAACTCAACTTTGAAGTAATTGTTTTCACTGTTTTGGTAGTTTCACTTAAGCTAATTTCCACGCTTATATGAAATGTTACCAAAACTCAATTTTTGTTTTTTTTAAGGTGTAGTTCTTAATAGCCTTATTATGAAAATACTTAGGTTATTGTCTGTTCTTTTTGCAGGATATTTCTCTGGTAAATTTCATTCATATTTGATGACATTTAATTTTATATTTAATTTTCTGTTGAAAAAACTTAGTTGTTCTCTTAAGTTTTCTCTAATTTGCTGGGTAAGGTTCAACTGGAAGAAACGTGTTGTCGTTTTTCTTGAAGTGACCTCTGACTGCTATGAAATAATAGATCCACAACATTGTGATTTGAGAGTAGTAGACCAGAAGCATAGGGGATGCAGTTTTATGTAAGCTGAAATGCACAGGGGAGAAATGGAAAGTGTGTAGGTGATTAGAATATTTTATTTATTCCTCATGCAGTGATAGCAGTTTTGGGAGCTTGTGGTCTCTTATAGTTGCTGTGGAGCTGAAGTGCAAATGTCTGTGGTCTGCAGGAGACTGTGGACTATTGCAGGTGTCTGTATCAGATTCTTTTGTTTTTTTGAGTGACAAAAAGCATATTAATTCCTTTCCCATTGCTGTTCAGGTCTAGTACCTCAAGTTGACCCCATGTGAAAAGGATTGTGTGTCATTGTATTTTTTTCATGCAAAAATGTTCTGTCAAACATGCTTTCTTTCGTTTTGAAAAACACTCAGATTTCTGGGCTGTATATGTGTTTGAACGAGTAAAGATTTTGGCCAGCTGTCAGTATATTGATGGCTACAGTAGCACGCTCAAAGAGCTGGAAAACAAAGGCAAGACCAATGAAGAGGATGTAGATGTCCTTTGGGCAGGTTGCATGATAGGGAATGTAACTTTCTGTTTCAAGCAGAGAGGAAAGTTTTTGTTTTTATTTTTTTTTCTTTAAGAAAACAGTCAGTGGTGAAGCATCAGTGTTCATAATGATTGAGTAAATATTTTGTAGATTGATGGACTTCAAAAAAAATCATTTATGCCTCTGCACAGACTTGTAAAAGTTGGTAAGGAACCCTTGTTGCATTAGTTGACACACACATGCAGGCCAGGACTAAGTGGGTGGTGGTTTTAATGGAGAGTGCAATTTTACTGGCTTGACTTGTAAAAGTCTGCAAAGAAATCAGATAATTCCACCAACACATTTGTCGGTGCGGCTCTTACTCCTGTGGAAGTCTTCACTGGGAGGAGATTCAAGGTTGACTTCAAGGAGAACAGCAATAAGTGCTATGAATTGAGGAGCAAATATCCTGCACCAGAGTAAAACAAATGGATCAGGTGTCATGCCAGTGCGGAATCGGAGGTGAGCCCAAGGCAGGGAGCTAGTTTCAAAATTGTGGTATTTTACAATTTCTTGGCACCTGCTCTGTAGAGGGACAGTGGTGAATCAGGCTTAGTATTGGTGAGGGCTGAAGTACTTGGCTTGTCCTAACATCAGGCCCAGACAGTAGGGTTCAGTCTACTGTCGTGAGTTAATAAAGTATGAAAATGAACCTAGACAATAGTTTTACTATCATTCATGTGGACGTTTCCAAAGGGAAATTAGATGTAAACTTTTTTTCTTCTGCAAGTTATATTTACTGTTAAGATATGAATGTATAATTGGAGCTACTAATACTGATTTTTGCTGTGTGAACATCAAAGAATTTAGTTAAATCAGTTGCTGTTTTGCCAAGAAGAGACCAGATGAGTAGAATCAGCTAATTTGTTGGGAGGAAACTGTAAGTTTTGGGGTCTGTGCTTTAATCTTTGGAACTATGTCTGGTTTTCTGACACTGACAGACAAAAGACGGACGTTTTCTCTGAGGGAAAACTTATTCATTTAAAAATACTTATGTCGGAAAAAGGATATGTAGGTTTCGTTGTTAGTGTAAATTATATTTGTATTTTGCTGTATTTTTTTCCAACTGCCCACGCTGTGTACGAGCAGATGCACAGGATTTCTGTGTTGCCTGGCTGTCGAGCTGAAGGGAGCGTGCTTGGCTCGCAGCGAGGGCGGCGCTCGGGGCTTTGCACAGCCAGGTAGCTTGGGAGCCAGCCGTGGCTTCGTGCAGCGCTGTTCGCTGTGCTCGAGCTGTCCTCGGACTGTCAAGCCTGACCTTTTGACGTGTGTTTTGTCATGTTTCTTGGCACTGACCTATCTGCTCTGAAGCGGGTTTGTAATTACTCTGCGTTTTTCACCAGTAGACAACTGTTGGGAAAAATATCCTGACTTTGGTTTAAAAAATCAAAAAATTATTTCACAAATTTGCCTTCTGTGTAGCACTGTTGAAAATTACATCTAATTTAGCAAATACCCCAACACAGGACCTCTGTTAACAAAATTTGGCCTTTGGAGTTGCTAGCTGAGAGGCTGTTTATTTGATACCTTAATTTAATGCAGTGATCTGAATGACTTGCTTTGTACCTAAGGGAAGATATTGTTGCATCATGTTGACAGGATAAGATTGGTTTGAGGTTTATTCTTTAAATGTACTTTTCATGCCCTTTGAAAGACTATCAAGATTTTCAAGTAAAAGAGGAAGAAATCTGTTTTTATGTCTGACTCTGATAATCCAAGGCAGTTGCATGCTCTATACGAGTCTCAAGTATGGCGAATCTGTGGGCCCTGTTTTAGTCAGCACGAGCTATGAGTGCTCAACACCTTGCTGGATCAGACCCTTTAAATTTATGTACAGCTGTTGCCTAGCTAGAATGGTTAGCCTCTTCAAAGTGATTGGCAATACAATCTTAAAAGGAGTTCTTTTAGGTTAATTCTGAAAAATTAGGGTGGGACAGAACTGGTCTATGAACGCTGTGCAAGGGCTTCTGTACCATTTAAAAAAAAAAAAAAAATCTCCCCGTAACAAACACAGCTCCTGAAGGGATGAGGTTTTTGAGATGGGCAGTTGGGTACCAACTGAGCTGAGATTTGGGGTGCAGGCTCTGCCCCAACATGGAAGATGTCATCACGCCATAGCTAGTGGCAGGAGGTGACGTGGGGCGGTAGCTGGCTTGGCGGGTGGCGTGGGTGAAGGGCTGGCAGCTCTGCCGCTCAGCTCTGCCGTAGGCAGGTGAATGTACTGCCAACATCTTTGTGTTTGAGGGGTCACGTCTAGAGACCTCAGTCAAGAATTGAGTCCTCTTGGTAGTGAGCACTTCGCCAACATATATGAAAAAGGTTGCGCATATCCAAACAGTCTGTCTTTCTTTTCTCGTTCCCCATCGTAGAGATCCTTGCATGTTCATGGTTTTTTAGGCTGATATAGTGCTAAATTTAAACCTTAAGAGTTTTAAAATCTTCTTTATTGCTTCTTACCTACAGTGCAGTGTAAAATGATCATTATCATGTACTAATTACTGACAAGGTTATAAATATTTCATCTTCTCTACACAAGAGAATTCTGAATTGGTATATTTGCTTCTGAACTACACGTTACTAAATTAAAACCTTCAAACCTTTGTGTTTCTCCTGAGTAGGTAAATGCAACTTTGTTTGTCTGACTTTGCAATCCTCTATCTAGCATTAGAGGAAGTCGAGATGCAGCATGTTCTGCGTTTTTTTGTTGTTGTTGTTTTGTGGTTGGTTTTTTTTTTTCATTCCCATGAGATAAGTTTTTGTAGGTTGCAAAGTAACTGCGTATGACAAGAATTAGTTAAATTATTACAAGACCAGTCAGACTTGATACATTTGAGAATATATATTAATCTGTTCTTTTTTTTTTCCAGTTTCAGTGAGAGAAAAATTTAAATATTCACCTTTCTTGTATTTATCTGTGAGTTGTAATTTGCCCTTACAGCTGATAACTCCTGAGATCAAGCAAGCAGTCATTCTCTCCTTTCGTGATTTGCCTTTTCCTTGAGGACTGATATCTAAGAGATATGCACATAACTAATGGTGCCGAAACTGTCTTCTGAACCCCTTGTTGCTTTTTGAAGATCAGTTTTTCTCTTTTTTGCAATAAACATAAAAAGGGGAGGGGAGGCTTCTGTCCTCCAAGAGTAGCTGTGTTAGGAAAAAAAGGTGACTCTATACTATGCAGACCTCTACTTATTGGATGAAAAAATACCCAGACTGAAAAATTGAAGCAGAAAGCCTTCTTAGGGG